GGGGGGGGGGCTGTCAGAGTGCTGGTATGGCAATATTTTGGAGTATCCTTTTATCCTCTTGAATTTTAGAAAAACTGGACAAGTAGGGATTTGAACTTGCAATAATGCAGATTTAGTGGGCTGGAGGAGCTCCTTCAAGACTAGTAGAAGACAGTCCAGGATGGTAAAACTAGGAAATCCGGTCTGCTCATAGATCAGCTCTGCCCTTAGGGGGCATGCTCTGCCCCTTATATTCTTCCTCTGGCTCTTCTCAATACTGGGTATATGCAGACATTGACTGCATACAGTGGTAAGCTCTGAGATTCCAGTATAAAATTGTAGAGGAAATAAAAGAGTGGGACTATTAACTTTCTTCATGCTAGGACAATTCAGGCCAACTTTGCTCTACAGAAAAGGGTCTCCTGTGTTGTCAACTATAACATACAAGAATTCTATACTGAAATCTGGAATCAAATAAAAGCAATCAATTAAATATTCAGTCTTGTTTTGTCATCTCTGCATATTTTCCTCAGAGCCCCAATGGGAAAGAGGCATTTGGTACAACATGAAACTATTAATTGTGGTCACCTAATCTATGAAGAAAATAAGGCTGGGAACAGTAGGGAGCAATGAGCGAGGCCGAGTGTATAGGAGATAAGGTCAGAGAGGAAGCAGGAGGGTTTGAGCAGAGGGAATGACATGATCTTATATAACATAATCTTCTCCCCCCTCCCCTTAGAGTAAGCCTTTGAATTGGATTCTCTATTCCACTGCTGTCAAGTCAATCCGGACTCATAGCGACCTCATAGGACAGAGTAGAACTGCCCCATTGGGTTTCTAAGGCTGTAATCTTTACAGAAGCAGACTGCCACATCTTCCTCCTGAAGAGCCACTGGTGGGTTCGAACTGTCGACCTTTTGGTCAGCAGCCCAGCACTTAACCATTGCACCACCAGGGCTCCTTGGGTTCTCTGTCACCTGCAGTCAAAAGCATCCTAGTAGATACTTAATCTCTTTGCTCTTCTTGGGCTTTAGCTCATCAGGTAATTCTCCTTCCATTGGAGATAATGGGTTTTATTTTAAGGAAGGTGACATTCCCCCAGTTACTTCTTAAGCAATGGTTATATTACCTTTTACAGACCATAAGGAAATCCCTCTTGACATAGAATACAAGAGAAAACTATGAGGTGAAAGTTCCATTCCCATCAAGACTCTGTTTGCAAGAAACAGGAACACAAAACCCAGCTGAAGAAAAGGGGGTCACATCAGCCCCGGGCCGGGAACAGCACTAATGGCACTTCATGGGAACTGGAGCTCAGGAGTAGAGGTATCTCTGGAGATCTGGGTAGCTCTCTAGGGAGTACCCTAGTACTCCTTCCCTTCATGTGATTCAGTTACTTTCTGCCTATTTGTTCCTGACTCATTACTAAGTGAGAACTTCCCTCTGTGCTTTTTAGTTCAAATTCATGACAAAATCTAATAGGCCCAGTCCCCTGGTCTCACCACACAAGCCCAAGGACAAACTTGTGGACTAGGCACTCGTAGGTCAGATGTCCGGCCACGGTCCATTCAACTGTGGGACAGAGAAGGTCCTGTGGCATAGAATAAGGCTCTGTAAGACAACTGGGGTAGAGGGAAAAATGAACATGGAACCAACTCTGGATGGGGCAGGCAATGACAGACATCTCCATCATATCTACTTTCTCTCTGAATACAAGCAACATTTTATAAGTAGGAGGCCTGCATCTTCCATGATCTCAATTTGTAAAATCCTTTTTTGTTGCCTGTATTTCTTTTGCAAAGGAGCCCTGGTGGCACAACGGTTAAGCACGTGGCTGCTAATCAAAAGGTCAGTGGTTTGAACTCACCAGCAACTCAGTGAGAGAAAAGACCTGGCGATCTGCTCCCATAAAGATTACAGCCTAGGAAACCCTAGGGACAGTTCTACTGTATTCTATAGGGGCACTATGAGTCAGAATTGACACCTGAAGGCACACAACAACAACATTTCTTTTGCAAGACTCAGCTCTTTGGGAACATTAGTATCTTGATACCTGCTTTTGTTCCCTCTTCCTATCTATGTAGCAACCTTCTAAAATCTGAACTCACTAGAGAATGCCCAGTGACAGGTTTTTGTTAGGACTCCACTAGCAGGGTGGCATTATGACTTTCATAGGCCCTAGGCACTTTTATGTTCTTGAGTTCCTTCCTCAATTAAAAAGAAAAAGAAAAAAATACATACACACACACACACATATAAAATTCTATTTTATGACTGTGTTAGTATAAAGACAAATATAATCCAGGCTGAATTCATTATTATATACTTGTTCTTGATATATTCATTTTTCCTCAAATTTTAAAAGAAATTAATTAAAACATTTTCTTGAGCCTCTGAAGGTACCAAGGCCCTAATCACTGTTCCCACTGTGTCTAATGCTAAGTTGGCCCTACTTGCTACGTATCTTCTTCAGGATCACCTGCCAGATTTTCATAGCTTCCTAACCTTCTTAAATAGTCTTGCCTTTCAATGGTTCTCATATCACAGAAACATGCAAATCATTTTTCTGAACGTTCTGAAATCTACATATTTGAAGTTAAGGGTAATGGCTTTTACATGGTATCTAGGAAATTCTTATGCTTTTAGATTCTTCATCTGTATGACACATAATAATAACTACAGGATTAAATGAAGTAAGGATGTAAAGACACTTTGTAAACCACAAATCATTTTACAAAGGTTGTATATCAATATTATACTTTAAAATTTTTTAATTTCAATACCTTAATCAGAAATTGAATTGTGACAATTCAATTTTATTTAGAGATATTTTTGTTGAAAGGTTAGTAATAGAAAATCAAGACTGACTTTTATTCTGGAAGGCAGCATAACTGTTAACTCTGGTATTTTTGGAAGAACTAAATGAGGCTCTTCTCTTTCTGCTGTCCACTGATGTTCTTAGTGGGCCTTTTTGGAGTGGCAGGGGAACACCGGCTCTTTTCTGCAAGCCTTTCCTCTGAAGATCTTTATAGCTTACAATACAAAGGGTAAATGCCAGGCTGTCTTAATATGATATGAAGGGAGAAAGAAGCAAAGATTCCTCCTTTCCAGATGGCTTTCCTGGTGAAAATTCTTCCCCTGCTCCCATCATAAATCAAGGCTGTTATTGGCTGTATCTATCCAGATGCTAAAGGAGAACTACCACGCATCATTTGGGATAAAGGCATATCCTGGCCACACCATCTTCCCACTAATCTAAGTTTTAAAACACAGAAGAGCAAGAAATAACTCACTACCAATTTAAATGCACTATTTCAGAGAATCCTAAACTGGAAGAAACTTTAAAAGTTCAACTAGGGTAATTCCCTTACTTTATCACAGATGCTTTGTGAGGCTTAAGTGAGATGTGTGAATCTCCCAGGGCCTACCACAGAGAAGGCACACAACTAATGATAGCACCCTACCCTTGACAGTTCTCTGGGTCTTTGTTCCAGGCAGTCAGACACAGGCATTCTCTGGGCCTCCTATGAGATATTTTTCAAAACCTTTGGGTGTAAAGCCCTCTTTTTAAGCTTGTATTCAGTCCCTGTGGACTTTTCTATTTCCATTCCAATAATCAATTGCTTTTATGATAAGCATTATAGAAAAAATATTACAGTTGAGAACTACTGAAGAAAGTAAATAGATAAAAAGGAAATTAATTCCTAACCTAGAGGACGTAGTATTATAATCCACTGGGCATGGCATAGGATATAGAATAAGTATAAGAAATAGTGTTTGCCTTCATGCCATATTTGCTTATAAGCAATAAAGAATATACTTTGTATTGTAGTTACTGTAAGACAATATAATGTTGTTTGACAGAATCCTTTTTAAAAAACTCAAAATCTTTAAAGACATTATTTTGTAATCATTACATTAACCCTTGGTATAGGATAATTGTAAATTCATTGATTAGACATTAGGAGTGGATAGATTTTTTCTGTAAAAGGCCAAATAGTAAATATTTTAGGCTTTGCGAGTCACATATGGAGTCTCTCGGTGGCACAAACAGTTAAGCACTTGGCTACTAACCAAAAGGTTGGCAGTTCAAACACACCCAGAAGCTCCTCTGGTGATCTGCGTCTGACAGATCACAGCCGTTGAAAACTCTGTGGAGCACAGTTCTACTCTGAAACACGTGGGGTCGCCATGAGTGGGAATCAACTCTATAGCAACTGGTTTATTATTATTGTTGTTTTTGAGCCACATATGGTCTCTCTTGCTTTTCTTTTCTTTTTCTTCCTTCCTTCCTTTACAACCCTTTAAAAGTATAAAAAACATTCTTTTCTCTCTGGTCATACCAAACAGGTACAGGCCAGATTTGCCCCATGCAGGCCGTGGTTTGCTGACTCCTGGATTAGACGGTAAAAATGAAGTGATAAGAGATAATATATTAAATCAGTGTATAAAACAATGACAAAACCAAAAGCAGAATTTAAATCTTCACCACTTCATTTAATATACCATTCTATCTCTGCCTTACCTGAAATTCATCAAAACATAAGAGGCAAGTTTCTTCACTGATTTCTTCAGCTATGGGAGCTATTGGGTCATACGATTTAGCCATGAATCCCGGTTTCCTTTTTGGCAAGCTCTGTTTAAGGCGATGTATTCCTTAAATGGGTGAAATTAAATGTAAACCAAATATTATATTAATAGTATATTTTAGACAACTATACCATATTTTTTAAATCTCTAAATGAAACTAGTGTGGACCTAAAAATTAAGTTTAAATTCGATATGCAATCAAATTTGATTATTCAAATTGGTTGCATTTTCTCTACCTCAGAAAAAATTGTCTAAATATTATTTTATTCCTGTGGTTGTAAGGAAACTTGGAGGTCATTCCACCTCCACTCTTCAATCACCTCAGAGACAACAAAGAGATAAACAGCTGGATGGACGGATCCATCTTAGCCCTGAAGATTTCAGGGATGGGGGTGGGGATGTGATTCTGCATGATTCTACACGTTATGTCTGGCATATCTAACCAGGATACTCTCTTGTCTCCAGCCTAATATACTAAAGCTAGTCCCACTTCATCATTATATTTGTACTAAATACTGAAAGTATTAAGAGAAAACGACAATGTTTCTACCCTGGGGAGGTTATAACATAGCTGGCAGACAATGCAAAAATGAAATAGCACAAGAACACTGACAAAGCAGCAAGGCAAACATACAAGTACAAAGTGAATATATACATGCTAAGGTGACACAGAGTAAAGGACCTAATCAAAATTGCCTTCTTGAAACAGATGAGTTTTTACCATTTTTTTAAATCGCTCTTTAGTAGAAATATGGAAACCCTGATGGCATAGGGGTTACGAGTTCGGCTGCTAACCAAAAAAAGCTCATCAGTTCGAATCCACCAGGCACTCCTTGGAAACCCTATGGGGCAGTCCTACTCTGTCTTATAGGGTCGCTACAGGTTGGAATCGACTTGACGGCAATGGGTTTGGTTTTGGTTTTTAGTAGAACTAGAAAATGCCTTACTTCCTTATAGTAGCCTCTGTTCTCTTATTTGGAAGTACTCAATTTGTCTTTAGGACCAACTCCAAAAACATCACTATTTCAGAATAGAACAAAACAAATGAAACCAGATAAAATCTTACTTTAAGCAAAAATCTAATTTTTAAAAAATATTACATGTGCCATCAATGAAGAAAACTATTTCTGTAATGTTTGCCAGCTAAAATCACTACTTTCATATAATTAACTTACTTTTGTGTACATCTAGCATGAAACCATGAAAATGAACCCGTTTTTTCCTCTTCACTTCCACATAAGCATAAAACATGTCCATCACCATTGTTTTTCCTGTACCTTAAAAATTAAAATAAAAATAAATACTATTAAACAGTATGTACCGATTGCTTTAATGACTGTTCATTAGTTTTGAGATAATGAAATCACACTCCCTTCTACTGGAAAACTTAAGACTATATTACCTTTTTGGAAAGGGGTACTTACTTTTTATGTTAAACTAGCCAGAAGTAAAATGGTGATACTACTCTTTTCTCTTAAAATCCTGTTTTTAGGAAATACAACATTTAGCTGATAATACAGTGACTATTTTCCCCAGAGAACTATTCTCATACACTGGCTAGATTTATAGATTATTTGTCTTTCATCTTCTCTTCCAAAAGATAGGAGTATAAACAAATTAACGTAAATATTTATTGGACTAATACTATGAATGAGGAATTGTCTTAGGCACCAAGAGAAAATTCATACATGAAAAATAAGAAAATTAAAAGAAAGATGAAAAATAAAGGTTAGTATCTGACATAAATACTGAAATTAAATAATACAGTTGGAAAATTGCCAATTATAACACTCCCATTTTTAAAATCTGAGAATATAAGTCTTTCAAAGGAGGCCTACTTGAAGAAATTCTGATACAGCCAACTCTCATAATTATCTAATTTTCAACCCTCTGAAACTTTTAATCACTAATTAGTAATCGAATAGTCAACAGCCAGAGCACCAAACACGGGCATGCAAAAAAATCCTTCTTCCCTAGCAGACAGCCTAGAACTTTGGGAGCAGTGGCAAGCTCAGTTCATACCGGGGCATTCTGGAAAGCCAAGCTAGGATGTGCTGGTACCTGTCTCATATCCTCCCTACTTCCTCCATGGCTACCCCATCACAGTGCCCACATTTTCCTGTCAGGGTCCACTGATTATGAAAGATTCAAAGCAGCTCAGGAAGTAAGATCTGCACTGTCTCTTAGGTTTTCCATAAAATGACTTTGGGCCCATGCAATCTGAATGCCAGAGTTTTTTTGTATACGAAAATACAATTCGGATTTTTAATGAACAAATGTTTTAAGATATTAGACAAAAGGCAACACAAGATTTTGATCCCTAAGAGAAGGGGAAAAAAGAGATGAGTCATACAATCACTACAGCTTTTTGCTTGGAGGCACCTTCCAGATCACTGCACAGCAAGGGAGATTCCAAGTAAAGCACACAGGTCTGGGTGAGTTGGGCGAAGAGAGATCAGAGTTACGGGAGTGTAAGGCAGCTTGGAGGATTCTGTGTTCCTATGATGCTGAACAGGTTTCAGTGGAGCTTCCAGACTAAGACAGACTAAAAAGGAAGGCCTGGCAATATACTTCCAAAAATCAGTCAATGAAAACTCTATGGATCACAATGATCCAATCCACAACTGATCATGGGGTTGGCGCAGGACCTGGCAGCATTTTGTTGTGTGTATGGGATCACCATGAGTCACGTGCTGACTCTACAGCAGCTAACAACAAGGCAGGTGCAATGTGTGAGGCAGAGTGCCAGAGAGGAGGAAGCTATACAAGGAAAGAGCTCCAGAAATCAACATATGGGTATCCTTGAGTCTTTGGCTGAGTACTAGGCTGCTCATGTGTAGGGTGATACTCTATGAGGTAAGTAGCAAAGAATGATGACCAGGAAGTTGTAAAAAGAACAATTTCCAGGGATACTGATACATGCAACAACTTGAATGAATCTCCAGGGAATTATGATGCGTGAAAAAGCCACTCCCGAAAGGTTGCACGCTGTATGATTCCATTATAAAACATTTTTTAGATGACAAAATTTTAGCAATGGAGAACAGATTATTGGATGCCAGGACTTAGAGGTGGGGATGAAAGGAGAAGAGTAGGTGTGGTTATAAAAGGGCAATGCAACGGATGCTTCTGGTGATGAAACTGTTCAGTATGTTGACTGTGGTGGCAGACACATGAACCTACACGTGATGAAACTGTATAGAACTAAATACTCACACGCAAATGAGTACAAGAGAAATCTGTACTCTTGTACAGAAACTACAGAAATTTGAGTAAGATCCATGGATTGCATCAATATCAATATCCTCATTGTGATATTACAACAAAATTTTGCAAAATGTTACCATTGAAGGAAACTGGGTAAAGGAATCTCTCTGTATTATTTCTTTAAACTGCATGTGAATCTACGGCAATCGCAATAAAATTTTCAATTAAAAATTAAATTAAATTTGAACAAATCAAGCTGACATGCAAGCAATTTAACCCTCTACCAAAATAAAATTCATCATACTTAAAAGAAAACAATTAAATCCAGACCTTAAGCAGTTAATATTTACAATATCAAGTATATAATAAAAAATAAGAAAACAGAAGAAACCCTAGAATTCTATACATACAGTAAAAATAACTTTCAAAAAAATGAAAGAAAGCAAAGACATTTTTTGAGATAAACAAAGGTTAAAAGAATTCATTACCAAAGCAAATCTGTGCTACAAAGAAATGTTAAAAGAAGTTCTTTAAGCCAAAGAAAAATGATGCCAGATGGAAAGTCTGATCTAGACGAACAAATTAAGAATACAGGAAATGGTAAATATTTAGGTTAAAATTTTTTAATTTTGTTTTCTTATTTTTTAATTTCTTGAGATGATAACTGAGTACTTTAAACAACAATATATTGTGGGATTGATAATCTATGTAGGAGCAAAACATATGACAATGTCACAAAAGGAAAAGTTAGGGAAATAGAATACTGTTGTAAGGTTCTTACATAATATAACTTGAAATAAGACTGTGATATATTAAAAAGGCATATTTTAAACTTTGGAGCAACCACTAAAAGAATAAAACAAAGCAGTACATCTAATTTGCCAACAGTAGAAATAAAATGGAATACCAAAAAACACTCAGAAGAAAACCGGAAACAAAGAAAGTTCAAACAGAAAACGAATAGAAAGATGGTAGACTTGAACCCAACCATATTGATAAGTTTGAATGGACCAAAAAATCCAATTAGATGGCTAAGATAGAATGGATAAAAAAGTAAGAGCTAACTATATATCATCTATAAGAAACGCACACAGGTTAAAAGTAGCAGGAAAAAAAAGATATACCATGCAAACACTAATGGTAAGAAAGGTGGAATGATTATGTTAATACAAGGCAAACTAGATTTCAGGACAAGGAATATTACTAAAGATAAAGAAAGCTATTTCATAATAATTAGAGGATTCATTCATCAAGAAGACATAATCCTAAATATGTATGTAACTATTAACAGAGATTCAAAGCATATAAAGCCAAAACTAATAAAACTAAAAGAAGAACGATAAATCCACAATTAAGAGGGAGATTTCATTACTCCTTTCTCAGTAACATAAAATGAGTAAACAAAATCAGTAAGGATATAGAAGATTGCTACAATACAATCAACCGACTTGCCATAATTGAGATTTATAGAACATTACACACAGCAAGACAGATTACATATTCTTTCCAAGCACACATAAAATATTTAACAGGGTAGACCATATGCAGAGCCATAAAACAAGTCTCCCATAAATATAAAGGGATTTGAATCACATAGAGAATGTTCTCTGACCACAATAGAATAAATTAGAAATCAACAGATACCTAGAAAATCTCCAAATATTTGGAAATTAAACAACATGATTTTTATATAACTCATCGGGCACTTACAAAATCATGAGGGAAATTAGAAAATATTTTCAATTGAATAATAATAAAAATACAACATCAAAATGTGATGAATGCCACTAAAACAGTGCTTAGATAGAAATTTATTACTTTAAATGTGCATATTAAAGAATAAGAAAGTTTTCTGGGGTCTTAAAAGCTTATGAGCAGTCATCTAAGGTATTTCACTGGTGCCACCCCATCTGGAGTAAGGGAGAATAAAGAAAACCAAAGACACTAGGGAAAGATTAATCCAAAGGACTAATGGAGCACAACCACCACAGCCTCTACCAGACTGAGTCCAGTACAACTAGATGGTGCCCAGCTACCACTATTGACTGCTCTGACAGGGATCACAACAGAGCATCCCGGACAGAACTGGAGAAAAATGTAGAACAAAATTCTAACTCGAAAAAAAGACCAGAGTTACTGGTCTGAGAGAGACTGGAGAAACCCCGAGAGTATGGCCCCTAGACACCCTTTTAACTCAGTACCGAACTCACTCCTAAAGTTCACCCTTCAGCCAAAGACTAGACAGGCCCATAAAACAAAATGAGACTAAAGGGGCACACCAGTCCAGGGGCAAGAACAAGAAGGCAGGAGGAGCAGAAAGGCCGATAATGGGGGAACCCAAGGTCAAGAAGGGGAGAGTGTTGACATGCCATGGGATTGGCAACCACTGTCACAAAACAATAGGTGTATTAATTGCTTAATGAGAAACTAATTTGCTCTGTAAACCTTCACCTAAAGCACAGTTAAAAAAAGAAAAGAATGTTCTTCAATCAAGTTTCCACCTTAAGAAATTAGAAAAAAACGAGAGCAAATGAAGCCGAAAGTAAGTACAAAACAGAAAATAATAAAGAGCAGAAATCTAACAGAATAAAAATGAAACAAACAATAAACAAAATCAATAAAATCAGAAACTGGTTCTTTGAAAAGATAAAAAATAATAATTGATAAAACCCAAGTTAAACTAACCAAAAAAAAAAGAAAGAAAGAAAACACAAATTACCAATACCAGGAACGAGGGAAAGTGTATCACTACAGTTCCTAAAGACATTAAAAGGATAATAAAAAAATAATTAGAAACAACATTCTATCAACAAATTTGACAACTCAGATGACAGGAGCAAATTACTTGAAAGACACAAACTACCAAAACTGGCATAAAATGAAATTAAAAATCTGAATAACTATATATTTACAAAAGAAATTTAATTCATGATTAATAATCTTCCCATAAAGAAAATCTAGGACCAAATGGCTTTGCTGGTCAAAACTATCAAATATATTAGAACTAAATAACACCAATCTTATACAAACTCTTCAGAAAATAGAGGAGGAGGGAACACTTTCAAGTTCA